TAACTTGTCTTGCATTGGATTTTGGCAAGATTTATAGTGGTTCTTGGGACATGACTATATGCATTTGGGATCGTTCTTCTTTGAATTGTTTGAAGGTGTTGGTGCATAATGATTGGGTTTGGAGCCTCGTACCTCATGATACTACACTAATGAGTGCAGCAGGTTCTGATGTACACCTTTGGGACATTACTAGTGGAACTCCTCTCGCAATTATTAATAATGCACATGCTGGCAATGCATATTCTTTGGCATGTAGTCACACTGGGAAGCTCCTGTTTACTGGAGGAGAAGATGGTTCTATACACGTGTTTGAGATCACAAGAAATGCTAAGTGTAATGTTCGAAAGATTGCAACATGGCTTCCTCACACGGGATCTGTTTATTCTCTTGCTTTTGAATTCCCTTGGCTGGTTTCAGCTTCTAGTGATGGGAAAATATCACTTATTGATGTGAGAAAATTGTTGAAAAAGACAAGCAAGTACTCTTCAATTGAAAATACTTTTAAGGGCAACCACATGGACCAAAAACATGTAGAACCTCCTCAAAGAATGCTCCATGGGTTTGGCTGCAATTTGTTCTCGGTTGGCATTGGCTGTGATCGTATTGTTTGTGGAGGTGAAGAGGGTGTTGTCAGGATCTGGAACTTCTCCCAAGCTCTGGAGATCGAGCAGAGAGTCCGCACTTTGAGAGGCATGAGGCTAGAAAACAGGATGAGGAGACGTAAGCTCCAAGCAGAAATAAATAGTAAAGGTAGCCACAGTGAGCAATGTTTAGTTGCTGCAAAGAAGAACCAAACAAATGGCGACAGGAATGGGTGGCATTATAAGCACAAGGTAACTGGAAAGCTGAAGGGTCAAAGTTAGTTTATAGTTTCTGATTATTTTTGTACTCTTTAGTTCTAAAGTCTTTGGCTAGACGTGGATGGGAACTACAGTCTAATTGACCTTTGTTTCTATGTTGTCATTTAGATTTTAATAAAATATTTGATCCCTTTATAAAATTTGATTATGGTTATTATCGTAAAGTACGTTCTCTTGACACACACAATCGTATCTCCTGTTTTAAGTGTTTGGCTGATAAAGAATGACATGTGGTACATGACAATTCATTTATTTCCCTTTATTTCTGATAATGTAATATTTGCTTGGCTGTTTCTTTTTCTGTTCTTTTTATCTTTTAACTGATTGTGACTTGGGAATAGTACTTACTGGATATCATGAGTTGTGACTGGAAAGATTTGGGTACCAGTACTTGGTTTGATTGGTTAATTTTGATGTATAAATATAAATAGTTAAGTCTCATGGCATTCTTTATTAGATTATCCATTTGTTATACAAGAAAATGTAGTAATTAAATGCTCTTTGTTGTGTATTTTCAGTATTTATTTCTCATTCCTTACTTCACATACTGTGCCTTACTTTTCTGTATTCACTTTCTTGTTCGTTATTTCGCATGTTGTGCCTTGCTCGGGCTGCAGTGTGCTGCACCCATTAATACAGTTGAAACATGCTGGTGCAGATGTAGAACAGAGGTATAAAAAGTGTATCATAGCATTAACCTATTTGTTATCTGTAAACCCAATTCCTTGTTTTGACAACTTGATCCTTCTGCATCTCCGCCTAATTTTTTCAACTCCATTCTCAAGCTCAGGTAAAGGAAGAGTGCTAAAGTGAAAAATTGTCATATCCATTTTATATGAAATTGAGAGTGATTGTTGATGCCTTGGCATGCTCTCAGAATGAAAATTTGAATATTTATCAGTGCTGTCACTTGTTTTACTGCGAGTTTATGTATTGACTGTCTGTTTTTTCAGTCATTTTTCTGCATTTGCAACTTGAATGTTTGGAATCAGAAACATTGTACAGGGAATAAGATGCTCGGATTTCTAGTTTTGGCAAGTGCGGATAGAAATAGTGTTCAAGCACCATGCCAACCATGGATGGTCTGGCCGGTGGCTCGACCTATTGGTAGGCAAAAAATTTCATTGAACCATTAAAATATCGAATATTTGACTTTTTATTTCGAACCATGCTATATATACAACTATGGTTGACAACTTCTTTTGACAATCATGAGTTGGCAAAATTTACAACATCCATTTTAAAAACTGTTTTTAAAATCAACTAAACAAATCTGACAACACATGCATTGTCAACAAAAGTTGTCAACAATCATTGTACAAGTAACATTATTCTTTTATTTCAGTATGTATCACTCTACAAAGCGTTAAACTACTTGTAAAGACAATTTTCATGAACTTTGTAAATTCAACAAAGCCATATCTAAGCTGAACTTGTTTTGTTACGAAGCAAAAGTAAATTCATTGAAAAGGTGATAAAACAAGGCCCTAAGTTAGGACGTCTAGTGGCTCGTAATAGGTCATTCATGCAAGTATTCTGAACGTAAAGACGTTTTATTGTAGGAAACTGAAGTCATCTATTTAAAAGTTTAAGCAATTAAATACAACGGTCTCTAAAATTCACTTTCTGATCAAAAGTCGATGACTGCCAAAACTTGAGGCCTAGGGTGCTAGGTGTGCGCATTTAAAGTTCTGTTCATCTACAATTTTTATAAATAGATGAAGACAATACTTTAATCCAATTCTTTTTTCATGATTCATTTAAATCTTATCGTCCACACACGAGCAATGCCACTTCGTTTTCAAAGAAACACTAGATTCTTTATAAGAAAAATGTTAAGTGTACATAATAAATGTACATTATGAATGACATAATGTGATGTGGCAATCATTCCGTCGTTGATGTGAAAGTGTCAGATTTGAATTAAAGGTTTTGATTAATGCCACTTGATATTATGTAGACCATTATGTAGACAATTATGTTCTTGTAGCATCACTCTCTTTATAAATGTCGATCTACAATTGCAAGGATCCAAAAGGCCCAAAACAACTTACAATCTGCATTGGTGTATTGAGTTTCTCTATACATGCTGTCAAACTTGAACTTCCAAACCAAAACCAAGTAGATATATATTTTATATTTTAGTTACTTTTATAGGGTCTAAACCTCCAAGAAGAAACAAAACAAGCTCACAAAGTGATCTAGAAAATCTTGAATCCAGAACAAATTGAACAAGATTCAGACCCAACACTTTGTTTGCGAGTTACAGAAAGCACAAGAAATGGTGGATAGAGGGTTAGTTCATGCATATGCTTTTTGATATTTTTGGCGAACAATGTAGGAACACGGGCATATTGATGCCCTGGAAAAGGGATTTTCAAGTGAATCATCAGTGAAGGCAATGTATGTCATGGGAGACTCTTCTGTTGATTGTGGAGGCAACACTCCATTCTACAATCTCATACACGACAAGCTCTCCTTGTATCCATGCAATGGCTCTGATTCAAGCTTGTTCCTCATCTTCTTGGTACTATCTCAAATCACTCACACACAGTTGTAGAAATGGATGAATATGGAATTTCTTGATATTTGTTTGGTTTCCTATAAATCTGGATTGGATTTCTAGAAACTGGTATGTAAAATTTTGGGCTGTTTCTTAATGTTGCTATTTTGTGTTTGTGGGTATTGTGAAGATTAAAAATGGCATTAATGGCGTGTAAAATTCACCATCTTTGAGCTTAATGCGATAAATATGAAGAAACACTGATAAAGGGATACTTTCTTTCAAGAAATACCATATAATATAAAGATTTAGAGCCCAATTTTTTTATGCAACAGAATAATCCTATTAAGAACCAATAAAGTTGGCTAGATTAGGTGATTAATTCATGGAAATCATGGTATTGTTTCGTTGAAACCTCCTCCTCGTTACCAGATTTTCGTCTATGATATATTCACGTGAACTTCAATTACGGTTGCATGGACAATAGGGAGCATATTGGTACTTTTTTCATGATGGTTGAAGAATCAGAGTGAGAATGGCAGACCTCTTTCATTAAATATTGCAGGTCTTGTATTTTTTTTCACTAGCAATCTGGAAGAATTGAGTTGAAAAAATATTATTTGTTACAATGGAATCCTGATTTGACGCGGACAAAACTTTATATTGTTAGCATTCTTTAATAAATGTTATGGCAAATGTCGATTTTTGGTGTACACCTCATCAAAGTTCATCTGTATCTAAACTCTGTGATAGCCTGCTTGATTATGATACTCATTTATATGATGCAGCTAAGAAAATGAATTTGTCATATGCCAAACCGTTTTACTGCCAAAATGGATCAATTCATGACCTTCGAATTGGGGTGCAGCACAAGCTACTATCCTATACGCAGGGAGTCAAGGTTACGAGCCTCTTAACCAGCAATTATGCCAAATGTTCGAGACTATTCAGCTATTACAGCTTTGGCTCAGCCAAGAAGTTGCCACACAATTCTTGGAATCTTCCGTCTTCTACCTCTCCCTCGGAAAAGACGACTTCATCGGTTACTTCCTTAATATCTCATTCGGGATAAATCCTAGATTCAGTGGGCAGAATTTTACTCATCTTGGTTAACTAGATGACAAATGCTATGTACACCACAAATGCTTTCAGAGTGGTATAATTCTGTGTGTTGGTTAAAACGCGCCCATGTGGGTTGGCGTGACCCGGTTTGCATGAAATGGTTTTTGGAGGGAGGGGTTGGGTTTTAAGTTTGAAATTCAACCTCCCACCAGGCCACCACCCACAACTGTTACATAACTTACACTACAATCAAAACCATGTGATATGATGCAAAATTCAGGTAGAAATAGAACAATACACACAAAACACATTCGGGCCGTGACTTGATATTCGTAAAATATACATCTCAAAATTAGTTTCTTGGATTGTGAACATCAAATTCCTTTCTTGGTGATCGAGTTTTTGATCAAGAAGTGGGTAGATGACAGTGTGGAAAGTAAGCAATCAAAATGCAAGTGATTAAACCTCGTTTTATGGTTTTCAAGTAAGTTTTACAACTTGGAATTTGGTTAAAAATATGCAAGCACGTTTTACACTATGAATGATGATAGCAGGTGTTGAGCAAATGAGTTCAATATGCGCATATTGAATATAACATGAGGCTGGAGGAGAAGATTTTTTCCCTTAATGCAGAGTTATCAGATGGTCAAATAATCTTTTGTGATGTTTTTCGAGCCACTCTGGAATTCATCAACGATCCTTAAAACTATGGTACGAAAAGGGACTTCAAGTGTCAAATGATTATGTTCTATCCTGCGTTTCTATCAGCACAGATGGGCTAAACAACTCAGTCTCAGTTCTTTCATTTGGCACTCGACTCAAATATTCTGCTTTAAGATATTCAGGTGATTCAGTTTACTGATCTATACAAAAACTTGCAGGAGTTAAGGATGTACAAAATGCATGCTATAGACTAGGCAGGTATCATGGGATGACCTCTACAGATAATGGTGGCTCCAGGAATCCAGATGAGCACGGGTAGTCGCTAGATGGCCCGCTCACCGCCCAATATAAGGAAAGAAATTCAGGTAGAGCCAGCACGGGCGGCCGCAGGGGCTCGCCGGGTGCTAGCTCCATCCACATGGTTTGCCATCAATTCTCAACCTGTGTCTGGTGGGACTTGTACAACCCTAACCCAGCTATGAACTCCTTGGTGGCTAATTCAGCCTTGTCAGGCGATCATCCATTACCATCCAAGAGCTGGTGTCCCCTTCAGTGTAAGAACCAACAACTCTGCAACTGGCTAGTTTTTATCATTCATTACATACTTTGTTTTACTTGAGTGATTAGCATATCTATGTAACTACACAGTTCGATATGGAAAGAAACTCGAGATTATGTAAAATTGTAATTTCTCAAGCAAATCTTCAAACGAATTACAGAATCAAATTCTAACACATTATTAATGTCATATGAGATGGAATATTTAGACAAGTAATGAAGAAATCAATAATTATAAGTGACTTAGAGAATTAAAAGAGATTTGTGAAGAATATAATTGCTAATCCAACAAGAAAATGTTGGGTTGAGGC